ACACAGCAGCGTCCCCACCATGCTCTTACATCCGTGATCGCCTTCTTCGCCTTCTCCTCCGCGTTGCGGCACTCCTGCACTGCGTCCTCCACCTCGCTGCTCAGCTGCGAGATGTCTGTCTCCAGCTTCTTCTTTTGGTTGATCAGGCCCGTGTTCTGCGACAGAGCAGGGCAGTGCCACAGGGACCAGCCGCTCACCGCAGCTGCCAGCCCCACTGCCAGACAAGCTCCTGCTGCGCCGGTGCCAGTGGAGACCCAGGATGTGGTGGTCCCTCACCTGGGAGTGGAGCAGGTTGACCCTCTCCGTGGCCTCCAGCAGCTCCTGCTCCGCCAGCTTCCTGCTCCTCTCCGCCTGCTCCAGCGCCGCCCGCAGCTCCTCCACCTCTGCCATTGCGGCGTTCCAGGGCAGCTGCCTGCTCCTTCAGGTCATCGTTGTGGCGTTGCGTGTCATCCAGCTCGATTTGCAGGTCCTGCCGGGCAGCACGGGGTCAGGAGGGAGCCAGGGCTGGCAAGGGGACAGCATGGAGCCCGTCCTGCCTGTGGCCGCCCAACCTTGATCTGGGCCTGGAGCTGGCGGCCCAGTTTCTGGAACTCGGCAGCCTGGCGGTTGGCGTGGCTCAGCTGGATCTCCATCTCGTTCAGGTCTCCCTCCATCTTCTTCCTCAGCCGGACAGCCTCGTTCTTGGCCCGAGCCTCTGCATCCAGCGTGGCCTGCATGGAGTCCATGGCACGCTGGTGGTTGCGCCTGCGGGGGGGATGATGGATCAGCCCTGTCCACCCAGGGATGCCTGGTCCGGAGCAGCCCCGGCAGTCCCTGGTGCTGGCTCTGCCCTCCCAGCGATGGCCCAGTCTGTCCCCTCTCACCACCCACCTCAGGTTCTCAAACTCCTCGTCCTTCTCCGCCAGCTTCCTGTCCACGTCAGCCTTGATCTGGTTCAGCTCCAGCTGGATGCGCAGCGTCTTGCTCTCCTCGTGCTCCAGGGCTCCCTAGAGAGAGTGGCAGTCATGGGAAGGTGAAAACCCCCCCCAGCCCCCCACCCCAGCCTGGCCATGCCCCCCAGCCCAGAGCTATGGGGAGCAGGTCAAGAGGAGCCACCCCAGAGCCCCGCTGGGGTTGCACGACCTCCAGGAGCACCACTCAGGGGTTGCAGCCTGGCCCAGGACTGTCACGGTGCCAGCACAGCGTGGGTCACTGCTCCAGCACTGTCTGACCCACACTGCAAGTGTGATGGGGGGTCTTGAGGGCAGTGGGTGCGTACAGGCATCAGTGGGAAACACAGACCCACCTCCTCCTCCAGAGCTGCCTGGATGTCGCTCTTCTCACTCTCCAGGGCTTTCTTCAGCTTCTCCAGCTCATGGATGGTTTTGCCACTCAGACTGATCTGGTCAGTCAGATCAGCGATTTCCTCTGGCAGGGATGGAAGGACATTTGGTCGGGAACGAGCTTGCAGGGCCAGCCCCATGCAGATGACTCCCCCATCCCCCTGCTCAGGCTTGGCCAATGTCCCCCCAGCCCCTTGGAGAGCAGCTGATGTTGTGCTTGGGGATGTTGCTGGGCCCTGCTGTGCTCCCCTGCAGTCTGGGTGAAGGTGAGGGTGTGGGAGAGGCATTAAGGAGCCATGGAGACCTGCTCGTCCAAGAGCAACACCCCTAAACCCAGTGCCATGAAAAAAACTGGAAGCAAAACATGCCCGTTTAGAAACAAGAGCCAGGTGACACTGCCTATCTGCCCAGAGTGCCCCCAGCAAGAGGGCAGGACACACGCTGGCTTCCAGGCTGGGCTGCTGCATCCTTCCAAGGAGGAAATGAGCCATGCTTGGCTGAGCAGCAAGATCTTCTCCCTGCCTACAAGGAACCCTCATCCCACCACATGGCTGAGGACAGAGGATCCATGGGCTGCCTGTGAGAGCCAGGCCCCGGGCAGAGAGCCCAAGGGGAGAGCCTGAGCCCAGTCCTACCTTGCAGGTTCTTGTTCTCCCTCTTGAGGGTCTCCAGGTTGTCCAGGGACTCCTCATAGGCATTCTTGAGCTTGAAGAGCTCCGTGCTTAGGCTGCGTGACTCCTTCTGTGATGCCTCCAGCTCTGCCTGGGTCTCCTCATACTTCTGCTTCCACTCAGCCAGGATCCTGTCGAAGTTGCGTTGCTTCTTGTCCAGGGCGGCACAGGCTGAGTTGGCACGCTCCAGGTCCACCGACAGGTCCTCGATCTCTGTCTGCAGCCGGTGCTTGGTCTTTTCCAGCGAAGAGCACTTGGCATGGGCAGCCTCCACTGCCTCCTCTGCCTCCTGCAGCCGGGTGGCCAGCTTCTTCCTGCCGATGGCAGCAAGGGGTGAGTGCTCCCAGCCCAAGTGCCATCCCACCCCACAGCCTGCCCCAACAGCCTCCAGACCAGGCAGGAGTGGGCAGTCTCACTCTGGCATCTGGGAATGCCCCATCCTTGAACAGAAACTTGCCACCTGCAAGGAATTAACTTCTGCCATGAGACTCACTTGGCTTCCTCCAGCTCCTCCGTCCTCTGGATGGCATCTGTCTCGTACTTGGTTCTCCACTGGGCTACTTCTGCATTGGCCTTGGACAAGTTCCTCTGGAGCTCGCTCTTGGCCTCCACCTCCTCCTCGTACTGCTCCCGCAGCAGGTCGCAGTCATGCCGGGAGGCTTGCAGGGCATGGGCCAGGGCATTCTTGCTCTGAGGAAAGGAGAGCTCATGAGAGGAGCAGCTGGCCCCAGGCTCCAGGACACCACCCATGGCACCGGGATCAGGGGCAGCAGGAGGGAACTTCTGTTTTTCCCAGGCTAAGCGCAGTCCTAGGGGCTCCTGTGTGCAGCTATGTCCTGTCTGCCCCGTCCAAGAAGCTGGGCCACTGCCACAGTGGGACACACATCCCATTCCCTGAGACCTGTGTCTCTCAGAGATCACCCATGCCCTGGAAGCCTCACCTTGGTCTCTTCCTCCAGCTGCCTCTTGAGCTCCTCGATGTTCTGTGTGAATGAGGTCTTGCCACGGCTCAGCTGGTTGATGAAGGACTCCTTCTCCTCCAGCAGCCGGCTAAGCTCCCCTGGGTTCAAACAAAGCCCAAACAGCTACTTTAGGGCCTGAGGGCTGCAGTCTGCATTAGCCCACTTTCCCCAGAGCCTGTGGCCTTCAGCTGCATTGTCACCTCCAGCAGTCCTGGTTGTATCCCCACCCAGGCAAGTGGGAGCCCATGGGCAGAGGTGGACACCCACAGTTAAAGTCCAAGTACACCAGCTGGGAACCCCTCCTTGTGATGCCTGAGATCACGGCACATCCCACAGCACAACCAGCATCACCACAGAGGTCCTCCTCCTTGCCAAGCCATACAGCACCTCTGCAAGGCCTGAGCGAAGGCACAACGCGGCCATCCCTCTCCCGTGCACTCCAGATGGAGCTCCTGCTATTTTTTTTTTTTTTTTTTTGGGAGAAGCAGGACGGTCTGCTCGGCTGACCCAGAGCTCCCCTAGTCGGACCCCCCAGCGCAAGACCAGCCCCAGGGCAGCCACATGTCCCACCTACCGTTCTCGGTCTGCAGCCTGCCCCGCTGCGTGCTCACGTCGGTCAGCTGGCGCTGCAGCTCGTCCACTTTGGACTTGGCCTCACTCAGCTGGTCCTCGTAGGTGCGGCACAGCTTCTCGGCACTGGCCTGCGGGCACCAAGTGAAGCTGGAGTGAGAGCCAGCCCCGGCCAGAAAGCAGGAGCCTGCCAGAGCTCTTGTGTCTCTGCTAAGCTAACAGTGGCTCTCTGCAGTCAGTCTCCCAAGAAACATCTTCCCAGATCCTCCAGACTTGACTAGGACAAGCCAAGCATCCTGCAAGCACTACCATAGTGACACAGGGACACACTATACCTAATGAAAAAGGAGTTGGCCATGGCAAAGAGCTACCTAGGACAACATGACAGTGGCAAAGAGCTACCTAGGACAACATCTCATGGACATGCTGAACACACTGCAACCAGTTGCGTTGATGTTCACAGAGAACCAAACCTGCCCCATACGGAACCAGTGCCCACCTTGTTCTTGGTGAGGTATTCAATGTTGGATGACAGGTCATCCACCTCCATCTTCATCTCGCTCTTCTCCTTCTCCAGCTTCTGCTTGACGCGCTGCAGGTTGTCGATCTGCTCGCTCAGCTCCGCCACGCTGTCCGCGTGCTTCTTCCGCAGGGCGGCTGCCGTGGACTCGTGCTGCAGGGTTGCTTCCTCCAGGTCCCGCCGCAGCTTCAGGAATTCTGCTTCCCGCTTCTTGTTCATCTCCAGCTGCGTGGCCGTTGCCCCACCGGCCTCCTCCAGCCGTTCGCTCAGCTCCTCCAGCTCCCGTGACACTTCTGCTCGCTGCTTCTCCACCTTGGCTCTGGCAGCACGCTCGGCCTCCAGCTCCTCCTCCAGCTCCTCAATGCGGGCCTGGCAGAGACAGAATAGGATGGTGATCTGGTGAAGCTCTGGCATCTTTGCAAAGTGTCTCCTCTGATGCTGGGGAGCAACAAGCCACCAGCCTGGAGCAAATACTTGGGCAGTTTTGGGGTTCTCTGAGGCAGGCATGCCTCATGCTCCTTTGCAGCCCATTTCCCAGAGCTTCTGCTCTCCCCTGTACCCTCCCACGAGGATCCAGACTGATAGTAGCTTCTTTTCAAGTAGGAACATCCATTCAATCAGCCTGAATGTGGGGGCTGTCTCTGCTAGGAAGAAGCCTAACATATTAGATTTGGATCTTCAGAGTTTGGGCAGTGGATTTAAGGTTTCAACCTGGACAGAGAACTACATCCTAGGAGCTGGCTGTCATGCTGGTGCTAGCATTCACCTCAATAGCTCATTCTTTAATTTTCTGTCCACCACATTTTGGCAAAGGGCTTTTTTTCTTCTAACAACTTTAGCTTTTTTCATCACTCTTCTGCCAAGGAGATGCCCCTGTGCTCAGAGAGGGACTGGCCCATGCAGGTTCCTCAGCACATGACATCTAATGGAAATTTAGGACTCCCAGGCTGTGAGAACAGTTCTTCCCACCATACCTGGAGCTCCTTGATCTTCTTCTGCAGCTGGGCCTCGGTTACTTGCCCATCTTCAATCCTTGAATTCAGTTGACTCATTTCAAAGTCTTTCCTGAACAGAAAGAAGGCAGAGCCTCTGGTCAGACAAACACTGTCCTGCCGAGTCCCTCTGGCTCCTGAAGATACAGGAAGACTGTTCCCAGCACTCTAACACTGAGGTCCAGGGGACAAACCAACCCACACAGGAAAAGGACTGCAGGGGTAAGAAGCAGCTCATGGACTGCTCTGAGGGAGGGCTGGAGTGGCCAAACTGGCATGCAACCTGGCTCTGAGATCCTGCCATGCAAGTCTCTCCTCTCCATCCCCACATACAGAGGAAGATCTATAGTGCTCTGATGTATTAGTCTGCAGCTGACGAGCTCCTCAGCATCTCTGCATAGTGCCCAGGGAAAACTACGCCCTCATTTTACCTGATGACACCTGCAGCGCTCAAAGCCACATCCCACAGGCCCTGCAGAGGCCACACGTCCACTTCATTCAGAGGTGGGCACTGGCCTGGCAGCGTAAGCACACGGCCCAGGCACATATCACACACTCACTTTTTGAGTTTCTCCTCCAGCTGCTGTTTGTCATTCTCCAGATCCATCACAGACTCTTGTGTCAACTTCAGGTCTCCTTCAAGCTTCCTCTTTGCTCTTTCCAGGTCCATGCGGACTTTCTTTTCTTGTTCAAGAGAGCTTTCCAGCTGGAGAACGAAGAGAGACAAGGATAGGGAAGGAAAGGATCCTCTGTATCTCCATCCTTCCCCATGTCTGTTGCCATGGGAAATTCACCCAGCCCTGAGAGCCAGAGCTGTTTCCTAGTTGGTCTCCAGTCCCATTCCCTCAGCCCACAACTGCTCACCATGAGGTACTCTAGACCACCTCTTGGTTCAGGGGCAATTTGTCGATGGGATTATTCATCAACTGACCATATTAAATGGGGATCTGACAACGATCCCACCCTCCAGATCCCACTTTGGGCTCTCCTGGAGGTGTAACTCAAACCTCTCTCACTTCACTGTCACTGGTCTGTTACTCACGTCATCCACTTGCTGCTCCAGTTTGACCTTGGCTTTGGTCAATGTGTTGACCTTATCTTCCTCAGCCTGCAGGTCATCCAGGGCCTGCTGATGGGCCTCTTGCAGTGCTTTCTTCTCTTTCGTCAGCTTTGCAATGATCTCATCCAGAGCAGCCATCTCTTCAATCAGGTTTTTAACCTAGATCAGCAAGGTAAAAAATTGAGCACATCTTCTCAAAGCGAGGGCATGCAGAGCTAATACAGCAGCCTGACCCATGAAAGGCAGGAGTCCATGATCAACGGCAGCTTGGCCCCACAGCAGCAGCCAGCCCCCCTCCCCTTGCCCAGGCTGGTTCCACCAGCTGGTTCATCCATGCCCCAAATCACTTGCCCTTGCACAAAACCATGTGCCCGACCCACTCCAGTGCAATGAGGCAGGACACCAGAGGGTTTTGCCCTCTCCCACACCTCTTTGCACTCTGCCCTGCCCCAGCTCACACACACCAGCAGCCCTGTGCCCAACGTTTCTCTTCAGTGCCCCCACAAGCACAGAGGCCCCAGGGCAACAAGGCTGTACTCTGCAGGGAGGGTCAGTTACCTTGTTCTCCGTGGCATGCTTCTCCTTCTCCACCTTGGCCAGCGTGATCTCTAGGTCATCGATGTCCTTCTTCAGCTCTGCACACTCATCTTCCAGCTTGCGTTTCTTGGCAGTGAGATCTGAGTTCATCTCCTCTTCATCCTCCAGACGCTCTGTCAGCTCCTTCACCTTGGCCTCCAGCTGGATCTTGGATTTGATCAGCAGGTCGCAGCGTTCCTCTGCATCTGCCAGGTTGTCTTGCTCCTGGGACAGGCACAGGAGAGTCAGTGCTTATCCACTGCCCCAGGAGCATACCAGCAAGCTCCCAACCATGCTATCCTGGCCCAGAGCTGAAGCTCTCCTTGTGGAAGGGGCAGAGCACGCCCGAAGTGCTCAGGAGGACAAAAGCAGATAGGTCCAGTCACTGCCCATTTTCAAGGCCCATGGGACAGCCAGCAACACTAACCAGGGCCAAAGAGCTAACAGCAACTAAATCTTTCCAGAGGAAGGAAACACTGGACTGACACTTCCTGGCACAGAAATGGCATGGCATGGATGAGCCACAGTTTGGCAAGGAAACACTGCCATCCCTCCCACCGCCTTTTGAGGAGATCACACTTTCCAGAGCCAGGGGAGCATGAACCCCCACGGCAGCCCTGAGATGGCAAGTCTGTGACGTTGCTTCAGGTTTGCACCGAGTCTAACGTTGCATTTCAAACAGCTTGTGGCAATGAGAGGTCTCAGAACTGCAAGAGGCTGAAGGAAGGATCCAGCACACTCTGCTCCTTCTTCTACCCATGGACCCTGCACTATCTTTACACTTCCAGGGAGAGGGTGAGGCACTCACTGCCTGCAGCTGGAGAGCCAAGTCATTCTTCTCCTGGATCATGGAGACCTGCTTCTCCTCCAGCTCCTTCCTCTTAGCCTCAGACTTCTCCAGAGCCTCCTTCAGCTTCTGGAACTCCTCCTTCAGGTTGGACATTTCTTTCTCAGTCTGAGCAGACTTGAGTAGAGGCTTGATCTTGAAGAACAGCTTCATCCAGGACCAGTTCTTGACAGCATTGAAGGCTCGGATGTTCCACTGGATGGTATAGAGGGCTTCCCTGGAGGGATACAAGCGCAGCATGATCATGGGTGTAGATTCTCCACATCCCATCCTCACTGCAGCAGGGACATGGCTTTTGCAGGCCTCGCCATGGCTCTGCTCTCCACCAGGTGGACAAACGGCAGTATGTTGAATGAATGGCACGTTGTCTGCACACTGGAATGGCGCCAGTGGGATGGGTAGTGTGGCCTGGCCTTCAGGTCTCTTCACTCTGCATCCCTCTGAATCTTCCAGTGGAAACCAAAGGCTTCCCCTCACTGACCCTCCCTACCCGACCCATACCAGATCTCTTACAGGTCTGCCTTCATCCCTTCAGGACAGGGCCATACTCAACCACCGCCAGCCACAGGCAAGCCCCACAGGTCCAACCCACTGAAATGTGCAGGAGGAACAAGGAGACACACAACATTCTGCCTCTTTCCCCCCCAACTCTACCTCCTGCTAATGATCTTCTGATACTCAATGCGCATGAGGTGCCCACGGATTCTGGCCTGCAACATGGTCAGGATCTTGGCCAGACGCTCGTCTCGCATCTCTTCCAGCAAGCCCAGCAAACCAGCCTTGAAAAACACCTGCAGGCAAGAGAGTGAGAACAGAGTCCACAGCAGAGAGGACAGAGGGCTCAGGGGTGAAATAACCTATCGGGCAGACCTGGGCCACATGCAGCCCAAAGCAGGGATACACAGAGCAGTGAGGGCTTCGCAGTGCAGGTTTTGGTGCCTTCCCTGCACGGCACACACCCACGCTCTGCCCTGGTTGGAGGTGCACCCACACCAGGCACAGGCACAGATGGGCACTGGATCTCCCTGCCCCGAGCACATCATGTTCCCCAGTGGAGACTAGTTGCTGTGTTCAGTGGTATGAGGTCAGGCAGCAGTGACCTTCTGCTCAGACCTGTTTCTTCCCAGCCTGTGCCTTCCTCTGCCCTCCTCAATCTCTTCAAGGGCCACACACAACCTTGCAGAGCACAGGGCTTCAGCAGGGCTGTGGCCAGGCAGAGAGCGAGCTGGGCATGGAGAGCAGACTGGGATTGTGGAGAAACAGGAGGGGCAATGTCTCCCTCCCAAGGACCAGCTGCCTGGTCTCACCTTGGTATGACCAAACTTGTACTGTGAGTGGTCTAGTTCCAGGGAGCTCAGCAGCTTCTCTGTGGCCTTTCTGCTGTCCACAAACTTGTCATCTGGAATGGCCGTTGGATTCAGGATACGGTAGCTGCAGGGACAAAGCAGAGGGAGGACATGCAAGAGAACCTCAGCACAGAGTTGATGGCTCCGTCATCATCCCCATACCTCAGCCATGCCAGTTCCCCATGGAAACATGTCACTGCAGCACAGGCTGGTGACATGCATGAACCAGGAGCTCTAGGGCGCAGCATGGGCTCTTCTGCAGAGCAGACGCCAGGTAACCCTGCCAGATCTTAGTCCCCTAACACAAGGAAGACTATGGAGTGCATGGCCACACCATGCCTGGTCAGGCCCAGGCCAAGCAGAGTGGATGGGGCCATCTGGAGAATGGTAAAGATCCCAAGGGCAGAGAGAAATCTGAGCCAGGATCAGAAGGCTAATCATGTCACCATCCACCTGCACCAGCCCTGCATTCAGCATCTCGAACATCACCAGCCCTGCTGTTCATCACATCTGGCCCCAAACTCTCCCTGTCTGGCACCGCAGAGCTCGCAGCAGAGCTACCCCAAACTGTACATGCACTGGGCACGTTGTGCTGGTCCAGGCCAGCCCTGCACAAGCTGGGGAGCAGGTCAGAGCCACTCTTTCTCCCCTCAGAACATGCATGGGTTGCTGGGCAAGGAAGAAGAGGGAGTTACCGCTGCTTGAAGTCTGCGTAGAGGATCCTGTTGGGGAATCCCTTACGGCAGATGCGGATACCTTCAAGGACACCGTTACAGCGCAGCTGGTGCAGCACCAGGAATGCATCCATGGCTCCTACGGGTGGGAACAAAGATGGAGCAGACACTCAGCCCAAGAGGACAGAGGAAATGAAGCTGCAGCATGGGCCTGAACTCTGGAAACAGCCTATGGTTTTGAACGTGGGTGTTAACCTGTCCTGTAGGCTATGGTGAGCACCAGTGCTGCAGCCTGGGCCTTGGGTGGTGGAAGTCAGCCTGAAAGACTCAACCGTGCCTGCTGTTCTACACAGGTGCCAGGCAGCCCAACCAGCGGTGCACAGGCAAAACAGGAGCCTGGTAAAACTCATTGTCTCCAGTAGAGGAGACTGGCATGGGTCACAGGGGCTTCCACGCTGAGATGGGGCCAGGTCTCAGTGGCAGCAGAACTGCTGCAAGAAAAGGGCTGGGAGAAGGTGGGTGCAAGAGTCCCTGCCAGCTACTGTATATGGATGTCACCCAAGGGAGCTGCCAGGGTGCTGTCTCGGTCCATGCGTACCTGGGGTCTTTGTCTCATTGGGGATGATGCAGCGGACAAAGTGGGGCTGAGTGGAGCGCAGGTTGGTCATCAGCTTGTTGAGATTCTCCTGTAGGGCAGACACAGGGGATGAGGCATGAGGTGACAGCTCTGCTCCCCTACACCACTTCTCTCCAGCCCCTTCCCCCCAAAGGCAGGGAGAGGGCAGACACTGAGACCCCCTTTCCGCTCTTCATGAGAAAGGGGAAAATTCCTCGTCCTCAGCTGCTCTCTGCGCTATCCTGCCAACGGGACATCCCCAGCCCCGTAGCAGGACCACTGCCCTCTGCCAGGGTGGGAGCACTGGCAGAGGGGACTGGGCTGGCAGACATGCCAAATGGCACCTGTGGGCTTTGCTATGCCAGACAGGAGCCAGATGCTTCTCAAGTACTTGCAGGTAAAGTTTTGCTGCAGAGGAGAGCCAGGAACACAGCACTGAGCGTACTCCTGGTAGGCAGCTCTGCTGGTGCCCATCAGCCCTGTGCTCAGCACCCTGCAAATCTACTGCTGGCATCCACACTGGCTGCAGTCCTCATCTCATCAGTTTTCTCTGTACCTCCTTCCACCATGACAGAGGACCTTGCCAATCCAGCCCTGGCATCCTTTTCTCTCCAAGGCAGAGCTCAAGCCCAGGCACGGCCCTGCCTTTTCTGGTGGGAAAGGCACCTGCACCCTCGATCTTTGCAGGCTGCCTTCCCCTGCTCATACAGGCTCAGCCTGCCCAGGACCAGCTCGGGGAAGGTAATGCCTTCCCACAGCTCCACCTCATCACAGGGCAACTTGTGGCCACAGACGCCTTTCCCCAAGGCCCATGACTTGTCCAGGAGGAAGAAAGTCACCCGTCTCCTGAACAGGGGCCCTGACACAAGCGCTGCCCTCTTTGAGCCCCCTGTCACCACAGGGCTCTCATGGCAGGACACAGCTTCGGGCTCACACACCCCTCTCTGCTGTTTTCCAGTTTCTTAAGCTCTGGGGTGAACAAATAACTCCTGTGGTGAGCATGGAAACGGGGGGTGTGTGTTATCCTGAGCTGTAAAATAGCTCAGGTCACCTCCCTGGAGAGGACAGCAGAGAGCTGCCAGCTCAGAGACCTGTAAGATCCTCCTCCATTTTCTTCTGCCCAAAGGCTGTCCTTCCCGCCGACAAGAATGAGGAGAGAAGTAGCACAGACTTAAAGTGATGTTCATGTAATACATCACCTAAACATCACTACAAGTCTTAACTGCCGCTCTCTCAAAGGCGAAGGAGCTGCCGAGCAGCACAAGCATCACGTGGGCAGAAGCAGCACAAGCCCCAGCTCAAAGGGAGCCATGGCTCTCCCAGCCTGGAGCTCCGTGTCCTCCCCTAGCAGCACAGGGACAGGGCTGGGACTCTGCCAGGCACACGGCCCTTGCCCAGGGTCCTGAGGGTGTTAGGAGCTTTTTCTAGCGGTGGTCCTTCAGGAGCCTTGGTGGTCCTTCAGGCCCCAGGAACTCATGTGCAAGATACCCCAGAGTATTGGCAGGGAAGTGGGACAGATACTGGGACACTTTGAGCATGCTTCCCTCATGGCCTTGGATGAGGGGCTGGCTCTTACCTTGTGCAGCTGTGACACTGTTTGGAAAGAAGCTGCCTTCTTACGTTTCTCCTTGGTCCCTGGCTTGTGAGGTTCCTCTGTTGGGTTGAAATATTGATTGGTTACATCAGCAAAATATCTGCTTGACTTGGAGGACTCAGGAGCACCCTCAAACACCCCTGAAACACCCACAGCCCCTGTTTTCTGTAAATCAGAGATGGTGCGAAGCCGCAGACCACTAAAAACATCTCCCACAGCACCCAACTCTGCACATTGCTCCTCAGCTCTTGGTAACAACAGACCCCTTCACACATCCCAGATTACAGGGCCACCAGGACAGCTCTACAGCACTGTAGAAGCTCAGCCTGGTCCTAAACATCCACCTAAAGCCCCTATGCCAGCACTGCATGTCCAGGGTACCCACCTACCCAGGTCAGAGAGGTTTTTAGGGGTCAGTGTGGGTCTTCCCTTTGCCCAGACTGCTAGGTACAGGAATGCTGCACTAACTGGGCGTGGGGGTGAGGAGGCTTTGCTGCAAAGGGAGGGAGAGATGGAGGTCAAAAAAGGGGTGATGTTGTTCCTCACCTGAAGTAGAGCCTACGTAGTTCTCATAGAGGGAGGCCAGGAGCTTGTTTTGGGATTTTTGGAAGACGGACACCACTGTCTCATTCAGAGGGTCCTTGTTCTTGTCCAGCCACCCAACAATGTTGTATGGCACCTGTCCCCAGAGGAGAGAGGCAAAGGTAAGGACAGCCCTGCAAGAGGCAAGGTGTGAGGGCTGTGGAAGAGCTGACAGGGGACGTACCACACCAGCATAGTGCACCAGCTCAAAGTGGGCCTCGTATTTCCGCTTTTTATCCGGCCGGGGCTTCTGGAAGTTGGGTGACTTCCCAATGTGGTTGTCGTAGAGCTTAGCTTTGAACGACATGTCAGAGGCTTTCGGGAACATGCACTCCTCTTCGAGGATGGACAGGATTCCCAGTGGCTGCAGAGAGAAGGTGGTATAAAGAGGTCTGAGCTCAGCATTCCCATGTCCCATCCTGGGAATGGGAGATTCTCCGTGCCACTGAGTAAGGTGAGGCAAGGCTTGACTTAGGAGAGCTCATCCTCATTTAGGCAAACAGTGCAAGACCTTGACCATGGGGGAAGCTATCACTGGTGTATTCCAGGCTGCATCTGACCTCCAGCCAGTCAGAGTGGGACTGGCCAGGCCTGCAAAAAATGGGGGCTTGCCCAAGTCCATCAGATTGTTGGGAAGGGGAGATCCTGTCCAGTATCCTATAAGGTTTGCTCCTTTCTAAAAATAAGGTGAGTTTCCTCCATGCAATGGTGGGAATTTTTTATACAAGCTGCTCCGAATCAGCAAGTACTCAAGTAAGAGGCACTGAGGGGCAGCAAGTGGGGAGGAAAACAGGGGTAGAGATCACTGTTCTCTGGAAGAAAAGGCCACATCAGGTTTTGTGACTCACTGGTGGGTAGGAACAGAATTTCTGTGTTTTCATAACATCAAAATTTGTGTCAAAAAGGACTCAATGGGCTGGAGGCTCTGACCTGTAAGTGTGGGGAAGACCAAGCTGGGCACTTGCCACTGCCTGGGGAGGGAATAATTTCATTTCTGGTAGCAGAGCACCCCTCACTGTTCCGAAGTTCCTCAGAGTTCCTCACTGTTCTTTGGCTTTGCAAAGAAGCCACCTATCAGAAGTACCTTTACTGTGCCCCGACTGATGCTTTACCTTCTCAATCAGGTCGATGCAAGCCTGCAGGTCCAGGCCAAAGTCAATGAAGACCCATTCAATGCCTTCCTTCTTGTATTCTTCTTGCTCCAGGACAAACATGTGGTGGTTGAAGAACTGTTGCAGCTTCTCATTGGTGAAGTTGATGCACAGCTGCTCAAAGCTGTTGAACTGCAAGAACAAAACAAACCTGCATCAGAAAGAAGAGCTCCAGACGTGAAGAGATTCACTTTTCTGCTTTGTCTGGGTGTAAAGAGCGATCTTTGCTAAGCTCAGCTGGATTGCTACCAGAGCAGATAGCCAGGAATCATTGGAGATGTGCCCACAGCAATGTTAGAACAGTCCTTGTGAGCTGCCTGATTGCTCCAGATAAATTAATTCAGACAAGAGCTCTTCTTCTTATCAAGGCCAGCAGTTTCTTGGAGGAGATAGAGCCGTTAGAAAGTAAGGGACTGAGCTGTCTAGCTACAACATTCCCCCAAACCCATTGCAGAGGGCCTGCAAAACTCACGTCAAAGATCTCGAAGCCTGCAATGTCCAGTACTCCGATGAAGAACTGTCTGGCTAGCTTGGTGTCTAGGGTCTTGTTGATCCGAGTCACCAGCCACTTAAACATGCGATCATAGGTGGCTTTAGCCAGGGCTCCCACAGCATAGACAACCTGCCAAAGAAAATCAGAGAGCATGTCATGAGCACTCATGCTTCTCCCTGCTTTTGTAGGAGCTAGAGGCCGAAGAACAGAGCTCCTCTTGGCACACGATAGACAGATCCAGGGAGTTCACAGTTACAGTATACGCTCCAAGACTAGTTTTCACATGCTCACAAATGTGTTCTTGTGTCCCTGGCCTGGCCTTAGCCTCCAAGGTCTTAGGATACAGATTCAATCTAACGTGGTATTTTCAGAAGCCTTGTGCATGGCAGAAGCCTACAGTTCACTCTGGATAAGACAGCAGCTCCTAAGGTCCTCCTGAATTTTACTCAAGGACTGGGTTGCACTATACGGGCCAGGGGCCAGGTCTGGGCTCCTAACAGTGATGTGGCTGGAGTCTGACAAGATACATTTTTGATGCATTTAAGTCTCCTACAAAATCAGTTTAGATGAGTATTTATGTGAGTTTTCTACTTTCCAGAGCTGAGCTCTTCATGGGAGTGTGACTGTCTCAGAAGAAGATCCACAGAAACTGGACCTCTTCTGGCTGTGATCCAACCCAGAGTTCAAAGATGCTGAATTGAACCTCCAGCCTTGGTTAATATCAAAAGATATCTGCCAACTCTGCCACTAACTTTCCCAGCTGCTAAAAGCCAGTAACTGTGGGTACATCTTCTCATGCTGCTCTGGAGTCTCTTCCTAAACCCAAGAGAGTGAACTGAAGCACCAGTGGCCCTGTGCAGAGAACATTATGCAATGGGCCTGCATGCAGACGAGTCACTCACCAGTGTGAGCAGGGAGCTCGTATCCCAGGACACTCACCTGTTCCACGTTCTGACCTTTGGTCACGTACTCATTGCCCACTTTCACACGAGGATGGAGCAACCCCTTGATGAGGTCAGCTGAGCTGATTCCCATCAGGTAGGCAGCTTTGTCAGCACCTGTAAAACAGTACAAAGGCATGAGGAGCCAGCAAGAAACCCCTGAGAAGGCAAAAAAGAAAATTTAAAAAATTACCAGCTCTTCTGCTGATCAATGTTGCCTATACTAGTTTTTCCTCCTGCTCCAGAGTCTCCTCCAGTGTCTAATGTGATTTCCCATCTTGGATATTGTATGATATTTTTAAAATCCGGACCTGCTGCCTGAGAACTTACTGTTTGGAGATGGCCTTAGCAAATTTGCTGCACTTTATCAGGTGCCTATCAGGTTTTTGAGTCTTCTTGGTCTGGGGATCTCTATGCATTTTCCAGTGGAAGCCTGGATTCCTGTGCAGTGAATTGGAACTGACCGGGAGAGAGGTGATTTTCTTCCTTATCTTTCATAGACTCCTCATAGCAGATTGTAGCTAGAAAATCACCTCTGTAGG